CCATGGTTTTTTTGGGAAGGAAATGACAAAGCTACAGCGCTCCCTTTTCATATATAAAATACGTGAAATAAATACATTTGCTTGGTCCTCCTGAAGCTGCAGCTCTTTAAGCACAGAGGGGATGGGACAGTCTGAATGGAACACCTTGGGAAGGCAGAGGCTGGAAGCAGAGGGCAGCAAGGAGATGCAGAGGAGTGGGAAGGGTGAGCAAGACCAAAGTGGAAGCCAGAGCTGTAAATACTTAACACAGTGCCTGACAGAGACACACAAAACCTGCACTTGCCACCTGCAGGGGCTGGGCCCATCCCCTCCTCGGGGAGCTTCCCACAGGGCACACAGAGCTCCCAGCAGTGCTATCCCCAGTTAATCCCTGCAGGATAAACATCCCTCTCTGATCTGTGACACCATCTGTGGGATGGGCATGGCATTCCCCAGGTCTCACAACGCGAACCCCACCTGCATCTTACTCAAAGAATGAGAAAATGCAATACTTTAATCAGGTGTGAAGCATCTGCCAGTGGATCCCCATCCCTGGAAGAGTTGGAGGCCAGGCTGGAGGAATCTGGTCTAAGGGAAGATGTCCCTGCCCATGCCAGGGGGGTGGAATGAGATGGTCCCTAAGGCTCCTTTCAACCCAAACCATTCCATGATTCTATGTTCAAATCCTCTACAAACTACAGGTAATCAGCCAACACTTTGCTTTTCTCCTTAAGTTGCTCATCTTGGGGTGAAAACCAAGCATTTTGTGTTTCAAGAGTGAACAAAGCATAACTGGGTTAGGCAATTTCTCACTCCTGGAGAGAATGAGGTTTTAATTTTTCTCCCCTCAAGAGCAGCCTGCAAACACCCAACTGAGACCTGCTTGGATTGACCACCCTGAGAAAAATAATGCCCAGAAAACAGAACCCCACAAGGAAAGCCATGAAACAGCCCCAAATGTGAGGTACTGGCAGCAGAGCCAAAACCCCTTCAAGGGATGGAAGCGGGCAGCCATCGCTCGATGAGGCAAATTAACGATTCTCAGCAGCAAATTTTGTTCCACTGATTCAGACACGCACCCAACATCTGCCCACATCCACGCCGGGGAAGCTCGGGAATTCTCTGCATACAAATGGTGACAGCTTAGCTCATCTCAGCTGCTCCTTCCAGCACGCTTCCAGGCACGAGCAGCCTCCCTCTCGCTGCAAATGGAGCTGCACCTCGCGGGGTGGTACCACAGCAAATGGAAGCAGAAACTCCCTCTAAAGTGATGGCAGCTGCCCTCTACGAGCAGCAGCAGGATTGCGCTTCTAGGTGCTCAAAAACACCAGGAAAAATCATCTTGCCTAAGCCAACCCTCCCTTGTGCTCATGTGGCAGTCAGGGATGCAGGCAGAAATCTCAATCCCTCACCTGGAATGAGCTGTTTCTGCTCCTTGCAGGTTGCATTTGCTCCAAGGCAGGAGGGCAGGTGTGTGCTCCTGGAAACACCTGGCCAGGAAACTTCCCTTTTCCCAGCTAAGTTCGACTTAAAAATAAAGAAATACCCAACAAGCACGGGTAAAAAAGGCAAAAGCCAGAAAGGGGGGCAGCTCCACGCCCCACCTGGTGGGATTTTGGGACGAGAAAGAAGAGACAGCATGGGAAGAGGCAAGATGGAAGGGACAAGGGGGCAATTCCAGCATGACAAGGGCAATCCCAGCATGGCACTGGGATGCTTGGGATGTGCACGGCACATCCAGGGACCGCCAGTGACACCAAGGAGCCCCATCCCAGCCCCAAACCCACGAGGATGGGCATCCCCATCCCCATCCCGGGGCTGGAAAACAGCCGGGATTCAACAGGATGGGACCCACCTCGTTCACGCTGAACACCAAACCCCTCGACATGGGCACCGGGGAGGGGGGTGCAACAAAGCCGGGCAGCGCCGGGGTGCCGTGACCTCAATAACGCTTCCCCCCACGCAAAATTTAGGGCTGGGCGTGTGCAGCTCCTTTTTTTTTTTTTTTTCTTTAATTCGAAACGCTTTTTCGCTACGGTTTCCCATCATCGATTAATTTCCCGTTTTTAATCAGCGCTGCCTCCCCCCTCGAGGCGGCTGCAGAACATGGCCCCGCGCTGCCGCCCCTCCTGCCGCAGCCCCGGCCCCACCTGCCGGGAGGAACGGGGCCGGAACGGGCGCACAGCGGGGAGAAAGCCCCGAACCCGCCCTTCTCCATCCCTCCATCCATCCATCCCTCCATCCATCCCTCCATCCATCCCTCCCCGCACCTGCCCCGGGCGCCCGCGCTGCCGCAGGGGCCGCGCCTGGCGCTGCCGCAGCCCCGGGGCGCCGGCACCGGGACACGCCCCTCCCCTGGCTTTTGGGGATGAAATCGCCGGATTTTGCTTCTCGGGGGTTGATTGATTTTTTTTTTTATTTTTTTAATTTTTTTTTTCCTCCCCCCCCACCTTCTCCGCGCGGGACGCGGCCCCCCCCTCACGCCCCGCTCCGCTCCGCTCCGCCGTGCGCACCGAATTTCCCCTCCCCGCGACACCGCCTCGCCAAGCCCTGCCGCCCGCTCCCCTCCCGATTTCTGCCCGGCACACTCTGCTGCCTCCGGGCGCTGCTGGGCACAGCCCTGAGCGTCCATGGAGATGGCGGTAGCGCGGCTAGCGTGTGGGAGCGGCCTCCCCTCAGCAGCCTCGACAGCGGCCGCGCCGGTTTCGTTTCATCCTGGTAAGCTCCAGGCTGACAAAGGGAGAGCAGCCGCCTCCTACACCTACAGTGGAGAGGGACAGGCCACAGAGGCCGTGGAGGGGCAGGGCTGGCAGCTCTCCCCGGCTTTGGGCTCTGCAGACACCTGTCAGAAGGAGCAACAAGTGACAGGAGAATGGCCCCGAGCTGCCGGGGAGCGTCGCGGTTCCCTCACCACCCTGCCACCAGCCTGGAGCCCTGGAAAGCAAAGGGAGAGGCTGAAAAAAACAAGATCCCGGTCCCAAAGGATCCCTCTCGACCTTGCCTGCTTCATCCGGAACAGCAGTGAGCTGCTTTTGCTCGGCCTGGAAGTGTTGTGGGGATTGCTCGATGGAATTACTGCCTTGTGTTAAGAGGGTTACTATCCCTAATAATTGGATTTAATAGAGAAACTGCAGGAGGGCAGGATCCAGTTTTCAGTTTTTTCTGACAAACAAATCAAGGACAAACATCCAGTCCAAGAACGGGCTTTTTGTGAGAGAAACAGATGAGGAACCTGCAGCACCAGGTTCTTCTTAAAGCCTTTTTTGCCTGTAGTTGCTGGGTATCTCTTTATTTTAAGTCTAACTTAGATGGGAAAAGGGAAGTTTCCTCACCAGGTCTTTCCAGGAGCCCACACGTGCAGCACCAATCTGCTTTTTAAAGCAGACCAGATTGGGAATGGTCTGTCTTGGTTTGGAATAAAGGTTTATGGAGTGCCAAAGCTCTTCTCTTACTACAGTATCAATAACTGCAGACTTACAGATTAGAATTGTACCAAAAAAAAAATCTGATTTGTGAACATGTAGTTTATGAAACCACATGTTTGTGAAACAAGCATTGTTTGTTTTCAGGTCAATAGTAATAGACAAGCCATCTAAAACCAGAGGAATGGTTCTTTTCTGCCCATTTTTAAACTGCCTAAAAAGTACTCACTATAATTTAGCTGGAGAATTTTCCTAGATTAGACACAAAAAATCCTCTAAAAAAATCTATCACAGCTTTGGGAATTGTATATATTTGGGAAATATAAACACTACAGTGCTACAAGGGGATCTGTCCTTGTGAGACAACAGAAAACAACGTGAATTGCAGTGCAAGCAGCTCGAGCCCAGTCTGGGACAGCAGCTCTTCCAACAGGCCATGTGGGATGTACCAGGAACACCAGGCTGGCTGGGATCAGCTCAGCACCCTCCAACAGGATTATTTCTTCATCTAAAGACAGCAAAACCAAAAGAGACTCTGGGTCTCCTTTCTTGGAGTGCTCAGCATGACAACATGTGTGTTCCAGAAGTTACCTCAACGCCCACTTTCATCTGCCTGAGCTCTCAGCAGCAAGTCCTGTCTGGATCCAAGAAATCCTGGGCTGGGCAGTGAGGCATCGTTAGCCAGTGCTCAGGCACAGCCACATCCAGGCCATTTAGAAGATCTGTTGGCAAAGCTTAGTCAAGAGTGAAATGCATCAATTCCTACAGCAACACGGAGATGTTTCCAGAACTGCTGGAGCAGCCCAAGTCCCAAAGTGCAGCTCATGGTGGTCAGCAGATCCTGCCCCAGCTGAGAGGAACTGCAGAGAAGCTCTCTAAGGGCACATCTCTTACCTGTATGTGCAGCAGGCTGACAGCTGATGCGGTTTAACTACTGCACTGAGCTCTTCTGGCTCTTCTTCGTGTTCACAGGGGCTTTTGTTTATTGGAAAAGGGATCTGGGAATTTTTCCTACTGTTCTCAGGCCAGGCTCCTCTTTCCTCCCCACTCCTGGCCCGTAGTACTGCTAGGTGTATACTATTTTAACACAAAATTATAAAGGAATCCTTTAGGGAGGAAACCATGGGGTCTTTATCTTCCATACCTGTTTCTTTGTCCCTAAGACCAGGCTTATTTTCCTCCCAGGTGAGGTTTGTCCCCTGTTTCATAACTACCAGGGTTTTCCCTGGTAGGTGCTACAGAAGGCAGAACACCAATTCCAGGTCTCACCTGCGGTGGGAATTGACGTGCAGAGCTGCAGCTGCGTTAGAAATTCTGGGTTATATTGGGTTATATTCTGGGTTACACAAGTCTGATGTCCCTAGGGCCTCCTCTGGCCACAAGCTGCTTCATTTGAGTCACTTAATTCAGCTTAAGCCTGGCTTTTGCAAAACCATAATGATCCCAGCTGAAATAAATACTCAAATTCTGCACTGGCTTAATTCCATTAAAGCACTACCCAGATCCTTTTGTAACCTGGACGTTAAAGTTCACCTAAACAAAGGAAATAGGCTAATTGCTTTCAAAATGCGATTTTGAAAGTGACCGGACAGGACCGACCTTTCCAGAGCGACCGCAGGTGCCGACAGAGCGCGGTGTGACCCTTGCGCGGTGAGCAGCCCCAGGCACACAGCCCCAGAGCAGGGCTCCCTGGCCAGGACACCAGCTGCGTTTCGTAAGCGCCTCGGAACCGGGAGCGGGCGGTTACACAAGCGTCCCCCGGCCGTGCCTGCGGTGTCACGGCAGGACAGACCGAGCAGGGCTCACGCAAACCGCGGGACGCTGCGGCTCAGGGGGGGATTACAGCTCAGCTGGCTCCTTCCTCGCGAACCAGACGCGTCTTTCAACTTGGACACGGTTCTCTCCAGCTGAAGGAACTTAACAGTTCATACTCACAGTGATGGGGGGCACGGTGCAGCCTCGCCAGCCTGCCAAGGCCAGCGGGACTGCGAGGATGTGAACTGGGACAGAAAGGTTCCCGGGGCTTGGACAGCGCAGGCGGCCAGCGGGCCGTGACTCAGCACAAAGAGGCAGCCAGGTCCTCAGCAGTGCTGAGCTCGGGATAAACAAACTCACCCTTTCACCCTGACCTCTTTAGCAAATGAAGAGACCCAAAAATATCGAGGTCAAGGCACTTAAACCATCTTTCACTGGTCCCTCTTGACCCCACCCCATCTGAAAAAACATTATTCCTGTCTCTTTTCAGCTGTGCGGAAGCCACAAAAAGCCAACACCTAAACCAGAAGATACAAGACCCAATACCCCTAAGGACAGATATATTTTTAATTAATCATTATTCCATTTCTGAATTACAAGCTGCAAGATGCTTTCAGATCATTTAAAGCCCGTGTGTCTAAGAGGCAGAGCTGACTCATCAGGGAGGCACAGGATGTGTTCACTTACGGGACCTTGTGGGAATTATCGGGCTCCTGGGCTCACATCACTTAAAGCCAAGATTCCCTTGGACCTGGTGTCATGGAAGGGCAGTTCCCAGCACTAGCTTCCCCCTTTGCTGACAATTCTCAGACATTCCAGGAGCCAGGAGGGACTTTATTCCTGCAGGAGAGCAGCCACCAGAGCTCTGCCAGCTCTGCAAAGGGACAGGGAACATCTCTGTGGGTGAAACAGGCTCCATTCCAAACACCCTGGGACTGCAGACTGAGCCCTGAACTGCTCCCGTTCACCAGGCAGAGGCTGCTCTGGCACCTGCACATCACCTGGCCTTGAGTACTCCGTCCTTCCCACAGGAGGGCACTCACCGCGGGGCAGCAGCGCAGGATTTATCCTGGAGTTTGTCAGGGCAAGAGTTCAGCCGGCTCTGAGGCAGGGATTGCATCATGCAGCACCACAGCAGGTCCTGCAGTGATGTTGTCACACAAACGAGTCACCAGGAACTCTGGCCTGCGGGACTTTCCTGGAGGACGCACCACTGGAGCTGACATCTCATCCCAGCCCTGCAGCCCCAGCTCTGCTGCTGCGGGGGCTGCGGGGCCGGGGCAGAGCCCAGGGGTCCGTGCGGGTTTCGGAGGGGCTTCGGGAGCCATCTGCTGTCATCAGCCCAGATTACAGCGAGGGGCTGCCGGGCTCCAGAAGGGCTCCGCTCCCTCCCACCCGTGCATGGACAGTTTGAACCACCTTCCCAGAATCACTGCTGTTGGAAAAGACCTCCAAGATCAACCTGTGAGCGATCCCCACCTTGTCAACCAGACCAGAGCACTGAGTGCCTTGTTGAGTCATTCCCTGGGCACCTCCAGGGATGGAGACTCCAGCACCTCCCTGGGCAGCCCCTGCCAATGTCTAATCACCCTTTCAGTGAAGAAACTCCTCCCGAGAAAATACCCAAATTTAACTAGAGCAGAAATAAGAGCCCCTCAGGGAGATACCCCCTCACCCAGAAGGACTCAGGGTTCTCCATAGGAGACACAGTGCTTCCAACACATGGAAGGACTCCACTTGAGGGTCTGCACTGAGCAGAGATGGGGTTCCAGCCCCCCAGACCCATCGGGTGCTGGCATTAGTCCCAGCTCTCACAAGCCCAGGTGGAAGCAGCAGGGCACTCACCCCCTGCTCAGAGGGCCCAGCAGAGCTGCAGGGAGCGTGGCAGAGGACAGGGACGCGCTGGGTGCTCGCTGTGCTTTGGGAACTGAGAGGCTTTGTTCCTCTGCAGGCAGCAGAGTGGCACTGGGCCTGGCACGGCACCGTGCCCGTGTCCCAGCCTGCCGCTGGCCTGGCATGACGAGCGTGCGAGCCACACCAGGGTGTGCAACCCCGTGGGCTCAGGATGGTGAGGGTGAGAGCTTCAGCACGGTGAGTGTGCAAGGCACAGCCTCCTGCCAGCGTGCAGTGTGAGTGTGCAAGGTGAGCCCCTTTGGCAGCACGGTGAGTGTGCAAGGTGGGCCCCTCTGTCAGCATGGTGAGTGTGCAAGGTGAGCCGGTGAGTGTGCAAGGCACAGCCTCCTGCCAGCGTGCAGTGTGAGTGTGCAAGGTGTGCCTCTGTCAGCACCATGAGTGTGCAGGGCACGTCTTTCTCCAGCACAGTGAGTGTGCAAGGTACGCGCAAGGTGTGTGCCAGGTGTATACAGGATGTTTGTGTTCGGGGTGTCTGTGTACCGTGTTTCTGTGTTCCAGGTTTGTCTGTATTCCAGGTGTTCATGTGTTCTAGGTGTGCCTGTATCCCAGGTGTTTTCCAGGTGTGTCTGTATTCCAGGTGTTTATGTGTCCCAGGTGTGCCTGTGTCCCAGGTGTGTCTGTATCCCAATTGTGTCTCTATTCCAGGTGTTCATGTTTTCCAGGTGTGTCTGTATCCCAGGTGTTCATGTGTTCCAGGTGTTTTCCAGGTGTGTCTGTATTCCAGGTGTTCATGTGTTCTAGGTGTGCCTGTATCCCAGGTGTTTTCCAGGTGTGTCTGTATTCCAGGTGTTCATGTGTTCTAGGTGTGCCTGTATCCCAGGTGTTTTCCAGGTGTGTCTGTATTCCAGGTGTTCATGTGTTCTAGGTGTGCCTGTATCCCAGGTGTTTTCCAGGTGTGTCTGTATTCCAGGTGTTCATGTGTTCTAGGTGTGCCTGTATCCCAGGTGTTTTCCAGGTGTGTCTGTATCCCAGGTGTTCATGTGTTCCAGGTGTTTTCCAGGTGTTTCAGGGCGCCGCGGCCCCCCCGGGCCGGCAGGGGGCGCAGGGGCGCGCGGGGCGCAGCGCGCGTGCGCGGGGCGGGGCGGGCGGAAGCGCGGCGGAGGGCGAGGGGCGCCCATGGGGCTCCTTAAAGGCGCCGCCGGCGCGGAGCCGCCTCCCGGTCCCGGAGGGACGCGCCAAGCCTGGCTGGAATGAGCAGGTGGGGCGGAACCCCCGGCACTTCCCCCGACACCCCGTCCCCCACGTCATCCCCCTCGTGGCCCGGCACGCGTGACCGCTGCCTCAGTTTCCCCCGGTGTCGGGGGGTCGTGCGGCCGCGGAGGGCGTGAGGCGGCCGCAGGGACTCCCGGGGTCGCCTCCCGGGGAGGGGGCGCACCCCGAGACTGCCGGGGCTGCAGATCCTGCGAGAGGGAGGTGTAGGGCCGGGGAGGGGGCTGCATACCCCGGTGGAGGGGGCACAGGCCTGGGCTGGGGGCTCCGAGCTCCGATGGGGGTCACAAACCCCTCAGGGGGCTGCAGGCTCCAGGCAGGGGGGCAGAAACCGCGCAGGGGTTCGGCTCCAGGATGGGGGGCTGCCCCGCCGGGGGTTCCCTAGGGCAGAGGGCCAGGCTGCCTCGGGGACACTGCAGCACTGTCCCCCGCTCCTGGGGACAGCGGGCTGTGCCCCAGCGGGATGGCATCCCGGTGCTGTCTGGGCACCCCCCGGGGTGGAAGGTGGGGACCCAGCTTCACATCCCCGAGGCTGGAGCAGCCCAGGGCCAAGGGAGTGCCGGGGATCCGCGGGCAGGATTTCCCTCTGGCTCGGGGCTGGGCCCTTCCAGCCCGGCAAGAGCCCCTGGAGCCTCCCCGCAGGCCCCGTCCCTGGGAATTGTTTGCAGTGATCACCTTAACCCGTGTTTGTTTTCCCCGATCATCACCGTGCCATAGCCAGCCCCACTGCCGCTCCAGGCAGAGCAGGGCTCTGCGTTTAGGGGCATATTTTATCCTGCACGGAAAAGGGAGCAGCTCCCAGCTGGGAGGGGAGCTCGGATACAAACAGGAAGCCCTGGAGGTGCCCCGCTGCCCCAGCACCAGCAGAGGGGCTGTGTTGGGGCACGCCACGCGTTAGGAGTGAGTTTATCAGGTGGGGCAGAGCTGGGAGCAAGAGATTTCCCCTGGCTTGCGTCAGGCTGAGCAGGAGGGCTGGGTCACGGGGAGGATCCGGAGGCAGCGCCCTGCCCGTGGCACGGTTTTGCTGTGGGTCTGCGGGGCACGTGCCACGCTGCCCTCCCGTGATGGGCACACTGGGGCCCGTGCCCAAAGAGCACCCAGGCCCTGGGGCACTGGAGGGTGTGGGTTCAGGACAGGCCCAGCTCCCTGTGGGGCTGGCACATGTGCAGGGCTGGGATAGATCCAGCTCTCCAGCGGGGCTGGTGCCTGTGCCAGGATGGACCCAGCTCCCTGGGGGGCTGGCACGTGTGGCTTCAGGACAGGCCTGTCCCAACCTGCAGCCTTGGTCACCCAACAATTCCAGAGCCCGTAGAGATTTATGACTTCTCTGACCTTGCAAATTGATGAGTCAGATGGTGAAGGTTTTTTGCTGCATTCCCAGGCTTTAAAGAACCCTGTGGGTTCCCAAAGCCTGGAAGCTCTCCTGCTGTGGCCCTGTCCCAGCATGATAATGATTCCCAGGCTGCAGCGAGAGGGAGCAGCTGGTGCTGAATGTGCTGAGGGTCACTTCTCCACATCCTTCTCCTGGGAAGGGTGTGATATCCCCTGCTTCCCGAGGGCAGCACCCCAGCCCTGGAGGCTGCAGCCTTGCCAAGCCCCGGCGGGATCAGGCAGGAGGTTTCACATGCCTAAACCCTTCTTGGGATTCTTGTTACAAACTCACGAGGGGGATCTCCCCCTGCCTAGTGTCCTGCCATGGCTGCACTGGGCTCTGCTGCCATCCCAGCCAGAGCTGGGGGGGCTGTCACAGCATGGCTGCTCTTTGGACTTTGTTCCTTCCTTTCCTTAATTTTCCGAGTGCAGGGAGGGGACAGTCCTCCTTCCCCAAGGACATGGAAGGCTGGACTGTCTCCACCTCTCCAGCCAGGCTGGGCCTGCTGCCAGTGTGGGGCCAGGGGGTGTTATCAGGGCTGGGCTGGCCCTGGGAGCCAGTCCCTGTCACCCCCCAGGACACCCTGATTATGGGGGGCCCTCGCCTGCCGTGTGCTGCAGCGATAGCACAGCGGGCGTGGGACACCTGTGGGACACTCTGCTGGAGTGGGGATGCTGGGGGGGCTCCCAGGGGACCTCATCCCTGAACAGGGACCCCCCAGCATCCCTTACTGTGCATTGCAGGGGGACAGTGCCATGGCTGAGAAGATGCCACCGAGCCCCGGCGGGGGCATCACTCCACTGCAGCAGATGCTGGCCTCAGGGACAGGTGCCATCCTCACCTCCCTCTTCGGTGAGTGTGGCAGGGTGGGTGCCAGGGTGGGGGCTGGCACGGGGGTGTCGTGGCTAAGGGCTGGCACGGGGGTGTCATGGCTAAGGGACCCTGTCTTTGTAGTGACGCCGCTGGACGTGGTGAAGATCCGGCTGCAGGCCCAGAGGACCCCCTTCTCCAAAGGTAACCCTGCTCGGGGCAGGGCAGGGGGCTGCAGCCAGTCCCCTGGCGAGCAGCCCACAGGGGTGTCTCAGCTGGCAGAGCTGGTGGCAGGGATGTCTCTGCTCTGGAGCGTGGGGCCATTGCAAGGTGACAGGTTACCATGGGCCCCTTGTCCTCACAGGCCCAGGGGCCCTGCTGGGGAAGCTGGGTTGGTGCTTGGCTCTGTCCTTCCCCCTCTGCAGCTCGATGCCAAGGGGGTCAGCACTGTGCCTGGCAGCCCCCAGCCCACCAGAAGCTCAGCCTGCTGTTGGTGCTGGCTGTTCCCCCACTGCCTTTGTTCCAGTCTCCATGCCACTCCCCTTGGGCTCTGCCCCTTCCTGTGGGATCACCGGGCTGGGGCTGACCACAAGGGACTGGTTTGGTGACAATAGGAACTGCTTGGGAAGTGGCTGTTGGGGCATGCAGGCACCCACAGAGCTCTGCTGCTGCCCGGCTGGGAGCTGTAGCAGCCCAGCCCCGGGTGGTGGCACGTCCCCTGTGTGGTTGCTCAGTGTGTCCCCATTGTGTGTTTCAGTGTTGGCAGCGCAGTCAGTGCCCTGGGGCGCTCAGCCGGCCACATGTGAGTACGCCAGGGGCTCCTGCTGCCAGTGGCTTTGCTTTCCCAAGCCTTCATCCTGGTTTGCTTCTCCACTGGTGGTGGCTTGGGTTCCTCTGGCTGTGGGGACATCCCTGCACAATGAGGGGTGACACTGTCCCCAGCCCAGGCTGCCCTGCAGCCCTGCTTTGGGGCTGGCTGTGCCACATCTATGGGGATCTGTTGTGCAGCCGGCCTGGCTGGCTGTGGTCTTGTCACTCTGTCCTGTTGCCACATCAAAGTCCCCTTGGATTTCTCCTGCCTGGTGTCCTTTGTGCCTGGCTTGAGGGCACAGTGGAGGGGCCAGTGCTGATGTCCCCACTGTGCCAGGGCAGCAGAGCCAAGACCAAGTGAGGCATAAACCCTCTCCCATTGCTGGCAGTGGGTCCTGCTGTATCCCCATCCCTGCCGTGGAGCTGGGTGTCCCCATCCCTGGTTCTGGCCACAATCAGACCCTTGCTGGAGGGTTGTTCCTCTCCTGGCCTTGGACTGGTGCACACTGGGCTCAAGCCTTGAGGGTTTGGCTCCTTCCTGGAAGATGTGACAGCTTTGGGATCAGATGTGCAGGGCATGGGGCAGAGGGGAAGGGTCTCCTGTGTAATGGCAGTGCCGTTGTTTCCTGCCTCAGGGAAGTGTTTCCTCTACTGCAACGGGCTCATGGACCACCTGTACGTCTGCCAGAACGGCAACGGCTGCACCGCCTGGTACAAGGCCCCCGGCCACTTCACCGGCACGCTGGTAGGAGCTCCAGGCATGGCCAGGGGCCTCCCACCCCAGAGCGGTGTTGGGGTGTTTTCTGGGGGGTTGTTTGTCCTTCTGCCACCTGTAACCCCTGTCCCTGGTGCTGTGCTCTCTCCCCCAGGATGCCTTTGTGAAGATCACACGCAACGAGGGCATCAGATCTCTGTGGAGCGGCTTGCCCCCCACCCTGTGAGTCTGGGGATTCTGGCTGCTGCCACCTGTCCAGGCACACAGACTTAGGTCCCAAGCCCCCTGCCAGCCCCAGGGAGGACATGTGCCCCTCACTGCCCTTCTCCTCCTCACAGGGTCATGGCTGTGCCAGCCACCGTCATTTACTTCACCACCTATGACCAGCTCCGGGACTACCTGCATGCCCGGATGGGGAGCTGGAACCACTACATCCCCTTGCTGGCTGGGGCCCTCGCCAGGCGTGAGTACCCCTCCTCTCTGGGGTCCCCCCATGCCCACCCTGTGTCCTGGCAGCAGAGCATGCCAGGTCTCAGTGCCCACATTCAGTGCCTGGCTCTCCGGGCACGGTGCTGATGGCTCTGGCACGGCTGCTGGAGCGGACAGAGCTCATTCCCTGTGTCCCTCTTGTGTTGCAGTGGGTGCTGTGACAGTCATCAGCCCCCTGGAGCTGATCCGCACCAAGATGCAGTCCCAGCAGCTCAGCTACCGTGAGCTGCGTGTCTGCATCCGGTCAGCAGTGGCCCAGGACGGCTGGCTGTCCCTCTGGAGAGGCTGGGGACCCACCGTGCTGCGGGACGTCCCCTTCTCGGGTATGCCTGGGGGGCACTGGGCACCCCCCACAGCCCGTGCTGGTGGGGGGTGCCCAGTGGTAGCACTGGTGTCTCCTCTCCCCAGCTCTGTACTGGTTTAACTACGAGCTGGTGAGGACGTGGCTCTGCAGGCAGGCCTGGCTGGACGGGGCCACGTTCATGGTCAGCTTCGCATCCGGGGCCATCTCTGGCACGGTGAGTTTGGGTTGCTGGGGCTCCTGTTGGGGATTGGCGTCTGTGGGAGGGAGGAGCGGGGCTGGGATGGTGCTGGGAGGTGACAACAGAGCTGGCACTGGGCAGGAACCCCATGTCCTGGCTCACCATCCAGTGCCAACCCCACAGGTGGCCGCGGTGCTGACGCTGCCCTTCGACGTGGTCAAAACCCAGCGGCAGATCGAGCTGGGAGACAGTGAGGTGCACCCAGGTGAGGGGCCAGGCTCCAGGCAGGTGCCTGGGGGGCAACCAGCACTCCCCCCGGGTGTGCCCCAACCCTCACCTGTTCCCCTCTCCCCACAGTCACAGCCTCCAAGCCTTCCTCCACCTGGCTGCTCATGCAGCGGATCCGCGCCGAGTCTGGCACCCGGGGGCTGTTTGCAGGTGAGGCTGTGCCCTGGCTGTGCTGGGGTTCCAGGTGCCCTGGTGTCACCCCAGGGCTCACAGCGCTGTCCTTGCAGGGTTCCTGCCCCGCGTCATCAAGGTGGCACCTGCCTGCGCCATCATGATCAGCACCTATGAATTTGGCAAGAGCTTCTTCCAGAAGCTGAACCAGGAGCAGCAGCTGCGGGGGGGATTGTGAGCGGGCCTGGGGCAGGGCTGGACGTGGCCGTGCCCAGGGGACAGTGCCAGCCCTGCTCCAGCCAGGTGTCCCAGGAGCGGCGATCCGCACTCGGCTGTGCAGAGCCCAAGTGCCTTCGTTCCTGCTCTGCCTCCCGCTGCCTGCACACGGAGCCAGGGCCAGCCTGGCCCCACTCCCTGTCCCAGCCACGCTGGGGGACATCTGTGCCTGCTACTGTGACACTCTGGGGGGATATGGAGCCCCCTGCACCCATCCCTTGGGGCTGGACAGATGTTGCTGCTGGAATCGTGGACGCTCTCGCAAGGATGGCCTGTCCCAGGAGACTTGGCCTGGCAGGAGATGGAGCTGGGGCTCTGGCAAGGACCAAACCCCAGACCTCGGGGGCTTCTCTGCCTGCCTGCGCCCCCCAGCCCTGCTCTGCCTGGGGATCTGCCCCTCCTGACCATCACTCACACACAGCCTCGCCTTGCTGGCTCTGCATGGCATGGGGACACATCAGGACCCTCTCCTTGCCTCTGGACCTCTCCTCCCACTTGGGATGTCCCCATCCCCTGTCAGACCCTGTGTGGGGACAGACCTCACTGCTGCTCCGGGGGGCCACTGTGGCACCCCTGCCCCATCCTTTCACTGCAAGGGCCTGCCCCAGCTCTGCGGGCACTGCCCCCATTACCCCGGGACTCATGGAGGGAATTTCTCCTAATTTCTTAAATAAAATAATTGTCTCTTAGTGGAAGGATATCTCTCTGTGTGCTGGGGGGCTGTAGATACACCTGTTTTGTGGGCCCCTGCCCCGAGGGGCTGCAGGAGGCTCACTGGGTGCCCCAAAATCCTTGTGTGGGCCAGGACTTTGTGGCAGGGGGGCCCAAGGGGTCTGTTCCCCTCTGGGGAGGTGGGTGACAGGCCAGCTCTGCTTGCTGCGTTTATTGATTCCTTTTGCTCCAACAAGGCAGATGGGGCTGAAATAAAAACCAAAATCACCCAAAACAACCCAAAACCCAGGGGAGGATGGGGAGGAAGGGGGAAGAAGAGTCCTCCCCCTGTTGTGGGGATGCTGCTGCAAGGGGGGCAGGCAGCCCCCCACAGTGCAGGGGAGCCGGGGGAGGCCAGGTGGGCACCAAGGGCCACGCCAGACCCTCACCTCTGGAAGGGGCCTGGCCCCGACCCCCCCTTGCCCCCCAGCAGCTGTCACTCCCAGTGTCCCCCCACCGTGGCACAGTCCATTCCCCCCAGTCCTGCACCCCCCATCCCAACAGGTCCGTGTCTCCAGCCGGGGTCCACGCTGGGGGGGCCGAGGCGCAGCCGGGGTGGGGTCTCAAGATGGGGAGGGGGATGCCCGTCCCCAGCCTCCCCGGTGGGATCGGCGCGTCCCTCGTTGGTCCCGGGGTGGCGAGGGGGGCCGAGCTCGGTCAGTCCGGTGCCGTCACGCTGGGCCGGGGGGCGGCGCGGGGGCCGGGGGTCTCAGCTGGGGCTGCGGGTCGGGCTGGCTTCCGTGCTGTCGCTCACCAGGCACTCGTTGGACTTGAGGCTGGCCAGGGACTTGCAGCTGGGCAGGGAGGCCAGGGAGCCGCAGAGCCCCAGCATGGAGGGCGTGGGGTCCTTCCCTGCGGGCAGAGCGGGGCGTCACAGGGGGCTCGGCCTCGTGTCCCAGCCCTGCCACCCCGGGGGGACAGGGACCACCTCTCCGGGGGCCACCTAGGTGTCCCTGCACTGCTGGGGCAGCATCCCAACCATGAGGAGGGGGCTGCTGGTGGGTCCTGACACGCGGGTGAGATGTGCTGAGCCCCGAGGGCACCCTATTGTGAGTGGGGGTCTTACCCAAGGGCCCCCAGGGCTCCCCTTCGCGCTTGCCCTCGCCCAGGCGCTGGGAGTCGGAGCTGAGGCTGTTCTCGGCCGAGAGCTGGTCGGTGCTCACGAAGCTGTGCCTGCAGAGGGACAGCTCTGAGCCCCCCGGGGCTGGCTCAGCTCTTGTACCCCTCCCACACCCCGTGTCTCCCCCGGGGTAGGGCAGGGTGCTCCGGCAGCTCTCTGCCCCCACCGTGAGCTTGCCTTCTGTAAAGTTTGCTGTCCGAGCCGCTCTCATTGCCATTGAGGGTCCCCAGGGAGGGCCACTGGTTGACCAGGGGTGTCACCATCTCCTTGGAGAGCTGGGCCAGCTGTGGGTTCTCGCAGGGGATCAGCCCCGTCCTGCAGCAAAGGCGGGTGCTCAGCACCTGGCACAGCCACCACTGCTGGGGACCTGCCAGGTGACACGGGACGTGTGGGGACACCCAGGGCCTGTGGGGCAGCCTGGCTCCAGGGACCCCCAGCCCCCCGAGCCCCCCGGCAGTGGCAGTGGGTCCCCACTCACAGCTGCTCCTGCAGCTCCAGGATGACGCCCTCCAGCTCCCTCTTCTCCAGCTGGTTCTGCACCATCACCTCCTCCAGCCGGAGCTTCAGCCGCTTGTTCTCCGCCTCCAGGTCCTTCAGCTGCGACTCCCGCAGCCGCACCAGCTCCTCCAGGTACCCCTGAGTGAGGCCACCATCAGTGGTGCACCGCTGCCACCACCCCCAGTGTCCCCAGGGCCCTCCAGAGTGACAAGGAGCGGGCTGGGTCACCGCAGCAGCAGGATGAAGGGCTGAGGGTGCCACTGAGGCAGAGATGCTCCAGGCTGGAGCATCCTGGGGAAGTTGATACCCTGACGGCCCCAGTCTGGTACCTTTTGGGCATAAACAATGCGGAATTTCTGCTCCATCTTGCGCCACTTGTTGTACCAGCTGTCCTCGTCGGTGACCAGGGGCAGGTAGGGGTGTTCAGGTGAGCTGTCCTCGCTCGTGCTGCTCTCCACACTGCCCCGCTCCTCCTCCTCACTCAGGTAGTCATAGCTGGGGGGTGTGGGGGCTCAGCAGGGGCTGTCAGGGGTTCAGGGAGCCCCATCGTGGTGCTGGGGGAGAGACAGGGGGGTCCCCACCCCAGGAAGGGCACCCCAGCTCCTACCTCTGCGTGAACTTCAGGTAGGGCGTGTAGTCAATGACCACGGGCGTTTTACCGTCCATCACCTCTCCCTTCAGGCAGAAGCTGAGCAGAGGCAACGGGAGAAGAAGGTGAGGGAACCCCCAGGCTGTCAGCCAGGGCCTGTGTCCCTCTGTGTCACCTGTCCCTACCTGAAGTCGATGGCGCTGAGCCCGATGAGCATCCCCGTGAGCACCGTGGACTCCTCCCGCAGCATGATGGCCCCGTCGTCGTAAAACCGCCTGCGGGGAGCACGCGGCTGGATGTGCCCCCCCAGCACCCCAAAACCCACCCTGGCACCCCGAAACCCACCCCAGCACCCCCACACACCCTGGTGCAGGTGTGGCCATGGCCGGCAGGGCCGGGGCTGCTCACCTGGTGGTCCGAGTGTCCCGCAGGGCTGTGGAGATGTACTCGGACATTCGCTTCTCCATCAGCGCCACACGGATCCAGGCCCGGCCCTGCGAGGCAGTCCTGAGGGTGGGGGCTGCCTCGGGGGGTCCCCACATCCCACCCACCCCCAGCACTCTGGTCCCCGTACAGGAGTGGCTTTCAGCCCGTTTTTCGGTACCATGGGGACCCACAGCTGCTGTTGTGTCCCAAGGGGCCCTGTGGTGTAGGATGGAGCTGCGGGAGGGCAGGGGAAGGGAGCAAGGTGGGGACACAGAGGGGTGGGGATGGGGATGGGGATGAGGAGAGATAGGAATGTAGATGGGTCCATGTACCAGGGTCAGGGTGGATTGAATGGAAACAGGAACAGACATAGAAATGGGGATGGGGACAGGGACAGGGACAGGGACAGGGAGAGGACTGGTGCCTTCCTGACCTTGGCCCTGGAGGTGCTGATGTTCTCCATGTTCTCGATGCTGCTGACGCAGTTGTTGGGGACCTTGCTGCAGGCCAGGCGGATGTAATCCCAAAACCCGCGCTGTCCATCGGAGCTGAACCAGCTGACGGGGCCTGCGGGCACCCACGGGCTGCTCAGGGGCTGCTGCGCCAGCAAAGCCCCTCCAGTAGAGCTGGACACCCTTCCTGGCGCCAGCATGTGCGTCCCCATCCGCCAGGGGACAGGGGATGGGGACAGGGACAGTCCTGGGGGTCACCCGTACCTTTGAAGCGGTGGCTGAGGATCTGCTCGAGGATGGCAGCGAAGTTAACGAACTCCTCGGAGGAGTCGTCGATGGGATCCGCCGTGTACTTCTCCAGAAGGGTCTTCACCGAGAACCTGGCGGGAGGACGGGCGTCACAGCGGGAGGGGACACGCGCCCCGCGCCACCTCCAGCCCTGGCACACGTCAGGGTTTAGCAAAGCGCTTTTCCAGCTGTTGGCTCCCGCTCCCGGCAGCGGGAAGAGGGCGTCGCGCTGGGCTGTGGCTCGGTGACCCCCCTGTCCCCGCGTCCCCAGGGACCCCGAGGGGCGGCCGCTGCTCCCCGCTGTGCAAGTGGCCAGGAAGGGCGAACAAAGGCCCCCTTCCTCCCGGCCGTGCGCGGGCGGTGATGGCTTCCCCTTCCGCCCGGCCGCTCGTGCTCGGGGCACAGCGACGCCGAGGACACCGAGCCACCGAGCCTGGACAGGGCGGGACGGGGCAGGTGTTTGCCCGGGGGGCATCGCTCCGTCTGTGGGGTCTGTGGGTCACAGCTGCAGGGGGATCCCCGTGGCAGCAGGTGGAGGGTGTGCCATCCTGGCACTGAGCTCTGGAGGTGCCTCATGGCACTGCCGTGCGGGCTGCAGGTGGAGATCCAGAGGGTCTCCGTGTCGTGACAATGGGGACTTTAGATGCCCCATGCCATGGCAAGGAGATCCATTGGGTCCCCATGTCATGGCAGTGGGGTCTGGAGGTGCCCCGTGCCACGCTGAGGAGCCCTGGGGTCCCCAGAGCCCAACATGAGGCCCTGGGGGTCTCTGCCAGGTTGCCCAGGCCCTGGTATCCCCCACATCCCCCCAGCCCTGGGCCAGGCTCCAGCACTCCCAGCTCCAGCAGCTCCTCACCAGGCCCCTGGGGGGGGGGTCACCCCACCCCCACACCCCGGCAGGAGCCACCAGCCCCCCCCACCCCCCATTTTGCGGTGTCCCCCCACCTGCAGACGGTGATGAGGTTTTTCCTCTCCACGGCGATGTTCCTGGAGGAAGCTTTCTTGGAGGAGAGCCCCAGAGCCATGGCAGCCGGCACCCAGCTCGCTTCCATCCAGCGGCCCAGGCGCCACGGCCGCGGGCGATGCCCCTTCCCCCGTGGGGACCCCCCCACCCCGCGGCCCCCCGCCCGCACCGCGCAGGCTTTGCTCCGCCGGTGCCCACNGCTCTCCCCGCCCCCGGCCCCCCAAATCGCTCTCCGGGGGATGGGGGGGGGCACAACAGAGCGGGGAGGGCCGGAGTCCCGCGGGGGGTCCCCAGCTGTCCCTCCCGACGTGACGTGTGGCTGCTCGGGGGGGACGCCGTGGGTACCCCCCAGGGGTTTTGGGGGAGTCTTTGGACCTCCCCAGGCTCAGATGGTCACCCCATGCCTTGCCCTGCCTCGATCCTCGTTTTGGGGGACTGAGCATCACCCCCCACCCCCCCCGCGGGGTCTGCGGGGGGCGAGGGACCCCCTTCACGGGGGTGGGTGGGGGCTGACTGTGCCGGGGGACAATCCCCCCACCCCTGTTCTTCACTGTGCCTCAGTTTCCCCGTTGTTGTGACAGAGAAATCGAGGAGGGGCTGGCGAATCCCACAGCAGCCACGTAAACCTGCAGAGCCCCCAAATAAATCAGAGCCACCCTCAGCACACAGACCCCCCCCGTGGGGACATGTGCCACCTCCCTGTGCCCACCGGGGTGCCACACGCCCCCTCTGCCCCTGCCACGGGGGCTCAGCCAAGAGAGCCCAGCTGGGGGACAGGTGGGCACAGCACGGGGAGGGACCCCCAAAATCCCCAGGGCCGTGCAGGGAGGGGAGCCCTTGGCAGTGCCCAGATAAGGCCGGGGCCGTTATCGGGGCACCCAGAGCCAGCACCACCCCTCCGAGGGTGCCACCAGGTCCCCAACGTGTCCCCAGCCTGGATGGGCCTCCAGGCTGCTGTGGCACAGTGGGGACAGCTCCGGTGCCACCTCACTGCTGGGGGACCCTGTGGGAATCCCCAGGTACCGGGGCTGGGATGGGATGGTGTGTGTGCACAGGTGTGTGTGTGTGTGCACAGGTGTGTGTGTGTGTGTGCACAGGTGTGTGTGTGTGTGTGTGCAAGGCTCACCCACCCCACCCTTGCCCTGGGATTGGGATTTTGGGGCTGAGATCCTTTTTGGGGATATAAATGTAGAGACACACACACGTGTCTGTGCACAGGTGCGCGCACACGCAGGGGCCGTGTGCCCCTCACACACACACAGGTGTGCCCACGGGTGGGCACCAAGGCAGGGCACACACCCCTGCCCTCCTGCCAAACATGCCAGCCCTGTCCAGGGCACCCCAGTGACAGCGATCCCTGGCACAGAGGGACACCCCGGCCCCGCGTCCCCCCCGCGCCTCCTCCCCAGGGAACTCCCCAGGAACCCCCTTTTTTTTTTTCAATTTTTTTTTTTTAAGAGAACACCCCAACCCCGCGGAAAGGAGGGGGGAGGGGGACAACCGGGGGGATCCCGGGGATTCCCTGCAGGGAAATCCGAGGTAAACAAGATTGGGGAGACGAGGGGGGGGCAGCGGGAGCAGGTCCGGGGCACCGGGCTGGCTGAGCGACGGCAGCAGAGCGGGGCGCAGGCGGGGCTTCACCGGGGCGCAGCTTTTGCAGATGTTGCACCCCGATAACCTTGTTTTTACGGGGGGCCCGGGGTGGGGGGGCCGGGTGAGCCCGAGGGGGGCAAGATTAGGGAGGTGAGCGTGACTCAGGCATCGGCGTCTCACACCCCGGGCAGCCGCAGAGAGAGCGCCAGGGGCGTCGGAGGCACCCCAGGGGTAGGTGCGGGGTCACCTCGGGGTGTCCCTGGGGAAGACAGGGTGGGAGAGGGGATGGCGGGGCTGGGAGGGCACCCTGGGCTGCCCCCGGGGCTGTCAGGGGGGTGTTGGGGTGGGAGGTGCTGTGGGATGGGAGACAGGGGCTCCATAGGGAGCCAAGGGGGCACACGGGGTGGGAGGGGAGCCAGCCGTGGGGTGTGGGTGGTGTGGGATGTGTGGGCTCCATAGGGAGCACCAGAGATGTCCCAGCCGTGGGGTGTGGGATGTGTGGGATGTGTGGGCTCCACAGGGAGCACCAGAGATGTCCCAGCTGTGGGTTTTGGGATGTATGGGCTCCATAGGGAGCACCAGAGATGTCCCAGCTGTGGGTTTTGGGATGTGTGGGCTCCATAGGGAGCACCAGAGATGTCCCAGCTGTGGGTTTTGGGATGTATGGGCTCCATAGGGAGCACCGGAGATGTTCCAGCCGTGGGGTGTGGGATGTATGGGCTCCATAGGGAGCACCAGAGATGTCCCAGCTGTGGGTTTTGGGATGTATGGGCTCCATAGGGAGCACCAGAGATGTCCCAGCTGCGGGGTGTGGATGGCCTGGGACGTGTGGGCTCCATGCTGAGCCGTGCTGGGCACCTGCTGGATGGAGGATCCCAGCCCTGCTGCACGGATGGCGTGGGATGTATGGAGTCCATAGGGAGCGGCGGGGTTGTACCCACGGAGGGAAGGAGCAGCCCCACGCTGCGGGGATGCTTTGGGACGTGCTGGCTGCAGACGGAGCCGAGGGAGGAGGCGGGAGGGATCCCTCATGGGCGCTGTGGGACGTGAGGGCTCCACAGAGCCCTGGTGGCCGCAGGGAGGATCCCGGTGGCCGTGCGGGGACGGCGCGGGAGCGCGGGCTCCGTGCTGAGCCGTGCCGGGAATTTGGGGCGGGAGGGGCGAGCCCAGTCCTGAGCTGGGCAGGAGATGTGCGGACCCCACGGGCTTGTACCCACCGAGGGGGACCCCACGGGGCTGTACCCACCGAGGGGGACCCCACGGACTTGTACTCACTGAGGGGGGACCCCAGGGGCTTGTACCCACTGGGGGGACCCCACGGGGCTGTACCCACCGAGGGGGACCCCACGGAGCTGTACCCACCGAGGGGGGACACACGGGGCTGTACCCACTGAGGGGGGACCCCACGGGCTTGTACCCACCGAGGGCGACCCCACGGGCTTGTAAGCACTGAGGGGGGACCCCACGGGCTTGTACCCATTGCGGGGGAACCCCACGGAGCTGTACCCACTGGGGGGGACCCCAGCCGCGCCCGGCTGCTGGGGGGTGTGTGGACCCCACGGGCCCGCGCTGGCTGTGCGATGTGGGGGCCGTGGGCTCATCCCACGCACACGATGCGGGACAGGAGCCCCGCAGCGCCCGGGGGTTCGCGGGGCGTGCCGGGCTCCATCCTGCCGTGCCCGGGGCTGCAGCCTGGGCTCCGTGCGGGGCTCTGCGGGCCCCGCACAGCGCGGCTGGCGCAGGGATGCGTTCGGGGGGTCCCGGTGACCTCGCTGCCCGGTGCCGCGGCTCCCCGCGGGTCCCGGCCCGGGGCGCTGCGGGGCAGAGCGGGGGGCAGCGGGTGGAGCGGGGCAGGGGCCGACGCCCGATGCCGGGCGTTATCAGTGGGGCACAGCCCGGCGCACCGGGCTGATGCAAGAGCCGCCGGCGGGCTGGGGGGGCCGGGGNNNNGGGCCGGGGGGGGCCCGGCACAGGCCGGGCTGGGGGGCCGGGGGCCGCCGGGCCGGGGCCAGGCGGGGCAGGAAGGAGACGGCCGAGTCAGAGGCTTGCCGTCCATCCCGTGGCCCCGCCGCGGCTCCCGCGCCCCGCCGGGGATCCCGCGTGGCCCCAGCGGGGATCCCGTGGCCCCCGCGAGGTGTCCGGGACCCCAGCCCGGCTCCCGCCACCCCCGGCCGGGAGCGAGCTCCTGCATCACCCTGGTGAGATCGGGGGGGGCTGGTTCCCCCCAAAGCCGCCCATGCCCCGACCTTGCCCCGGAGCCCCCGAGTGAGGTCGCTGAGCCGGGGTGGCGGGGGACAGCCGCAGCCCCTCGGCCCCCCAGGCTGGGAGGGTCCCCAGGGGGCGGCTGGAACAGCGGCTTTGGGGGTGCCGGGCCATGGCACCCCTCCTCAGAGACTCTGGGCTGGGGCGGGCGGGGGTCAGGGGTGAGGGGGTTTCAGGAGGGGGGTCTGGAGCCCCCCGGGTCCCTCCGGGGCTGCCCCGGGGGGAGGAAGGGGGGGGCGGAGTGCGGGGCAGGGCGCCCCCTGGCGGTTGTCCCGAGGCACAGCCCCGGGGCAGCTGCGGGGGGGCGAGGGGGGCAGGGGACACAGGGGACACAGGGGTCACAGGGGGTGAGGGCACTGGGTGCTGCAGGGGATCTGGGGGCTGATGGAAGGGCAGCCCCCACCTGTGCACCCCAGCGGCCTTTGGGGTGCTCACCCCGTCAGGGTTTGGGGTGTCCCGTGAGTCCAGCTGTGCCTCAGTTTCCCCCGTACTCCCCACCCCCACCCCCCCGCCAGGGGCTGGGGCTGTGTGCTGGGGGATCAGGGCACTGCGTGTGGGACCCCAGCCCGTGTGTGTGGGACTATACAGGACCCCCATACAGGTGCAGGGGGCTGCAGGGGGCTGTGTAGGACCCCAGACACGTGCGTGGGTCTATACAGGACCCCCACCCACACACGGGAGGGCCGTGTGGGACCGCAGTCCCCGAGCCTGGGTCCATGTGGGACCCGACCCCCGGCCGTGGGTGCGTGCGGGGGCTGACCCTGAGCACAGGGCACGGTGTGCGTGGGCACGGCTGGCTCAGGGCACCATGCCACGTCCCTGGTGGGAAGCTGCCGGGGCTCTGCCATGTCCTGACGTCGGTTCCCATCCCGTTTGGCCACAGGGCAGGGCATGACTTCCCTGGGGACCCCCAAGCCCAGCACCTCCCAGCCCGCGGGGAGCTGGTCGGGCAGGCAGGGGCTGCGGGAGCGGCCACGGCGTCCAGCGCCAGCCCCAGCCCTGGGGACAAACGCCAGTCCCGGGGGCACGGAGCGATGCCCTGCTCTCTGCTAACTTGTTCTTTCTCGTTTCCCCCGTGCCCGCCCCGCAGAGCGCCGGGTTATGGTGGCACCGGGCTGAGCGCCGGGACGCGCCGAGGCGGCAGCGGGGGCCGAGCCCGGAGCCATGGAGGGGCCTGGCCAGGTAGGGACACCCGGCCCCCGCCCCGGCTCCGCCGCTGCGCCCCGGCACGGCCCCGGCGAGGCCTTGGGGGTGCCCGAGCCTGCTGACCCCCTTCTCTCTGTCCCGCAGGAGGCCTACGAGGAGGGGATGAGGAGGAGCCTGGACCCTGAAGGCTACGAGGACCCCGGCCTAAAGAGCTCCCACCTCTCACTGGGCGAGATGAGCAGTGAGTGGCTCCTGGGGTGCTGGGGGCACCAAGGGTGGCATTGCATGGGCACCGGTGTCACAGGGGTGCCAGCGCTGCACGGGCGTGGCAGAGCACGGGTACCGGCGTGTCACCCGGGCACCGGTGTGGCAGAGGTGACAGTGCTGCATGTGTGACAACGGCGTAACACGGGTGACAGCTTGGCAGGGGTGATGGCACCACAGGGGCACTGGCACCAGCTGGGTGCCAGCGTTGCAGGGCCACCAGTGGCTCGAGGTGACGCGTTGCATGGGCAGAGAATTTTGTGGGTGCAGCTGTGCAGGGACACAGCATGGCTCAGGAGCATTGCATGGGCACCAGCAGTGCATGGACACAGGTGTTTCACGGCTGCCAGCTTCTCGTGGGCACCGCGTTGCATGGGTGCCAGCACGGCGCAGGCACGTTGCATGGGTCGCACAGATGAGTTGCATGAGCACAGGAGTGTTGCATGGATGCATTTCCTGCGTGCCAGCGTGGCACTGGCAGCGGGGCTCGCTCGGAGCGCGGGGCCAGGCAGTGACACCCCTCCTCAGGGACATCCTGCCCTTAGGGACAACCCCCCTCAGGGACACCCCCCCAACGGCAGCGAGTCCCTCTGCCGAAACCCCGGAGCCGTGAGGTGCCACCTCCAGCTGCGGGTGCCTGGAGTGGGACACCCGAGGGACACCCGAGGTCCTTGAGACCCCCGGGAGGGAGGTGAGGGGAGTTTGGGGTCTGCGTGCCGCGCAGCATCCCCTTGGCCCAGGCACGGTTGTTTCGGAGCTGCCACCCCGAGGAGGTGTTCGGGCTCGGGTCCCCCGCTGGGGTGACACCGGTGGGGTAACGCTGCCGCCTGTTCCGCGCAGGGGCCGGCGCTGGCATCGAGTCCCCCCTGCAGGCGTGGAGGGCCAGGGCCGAGGAGATGAATCCCCTGCGGTGAGTCCCCAGATCGGGGCGGGGGCTCTGCCTGCCCGGCTGGCATCCCCGGGGGAGGCTGGTGGCACCCGCGGTGCCCGGCGCTGAACCCCCGTGCCCGCGCTGTGTGTTTTGCAGCCAGTATCTGCCCGGCCGCCGGGGATTTTATGACCTGGACGGGAAGAGGCGCTCGGCCGGGGCCCCCCCGGGACACCCCAGCCGTGGCGAAGGGCAGCGTGAGTGACCGCGGGGGCCCCGGGGGACAAAGCCCAGCCCCGGCGTCCCCCCCACCTCAAGCCCTCCGTGGCGCTGCCCGCCCCGGTTCTGCCACCCCCGTGTCCCACCCTCCGCGGGGGGACGGTCACCCGGGCGTCAGGGCACGCCGCGGGGTGACCGCTGCCACTTGCCCGTAATCGCCCACTGATTGAGGATAAATAAAGCCTTTGTTTGGGGTGAGGACAAGAACCACTCGGGGCTGAACGCTGGCTGGCGCCGGGCGGCTCGGTGGCGGTGGCGGCGGGCAGGGACGAGGACACGCTCGTGCCCACGTGCCACGGCCAGCACCGTCGGGGACACAGTGACAGGGGACGCGCCCCATCCCTGCTCCCATGGGCGCAGCATCCTTCCCCCGGCAGAGCGGGATGCGGCTCCCGCAGCATCGCCCCGCCGGGTGACCCGGCTGGGGACCGCGAGGGGACCGCGGTGGTCCCCGTCCAGGGTGGAGGGGGACGGGGTGAGCCTGTCCCCAAGGTGGGGTGACAGCGGGCGGGCGGGAGCCGTGCTGGTGTTTACTGTCAGCAAAGGAAGTGCTGCGGGATTTACGGCGCGCACCGGGCGGCCGCGGGGATCGCTCCCCACTTTATAGGGACGGAGCGGCGGGGACATGGGGAGTGCAGGGGGGCCCGCAGGTAGGCAGGGGACGGGGACAGGGACACCTCGGGGGTCAGGCTGGCCGGGGATGTGCTGTCCCCGCGTCCCCATTCCGGTGGTGGTGCTCGGTGCTGGGGCTGTGCCGCTGGCAGGGCGGTGGCTCCGGTGATGTCCCCAGGCTGTCACCCTGCCCCAGGGGCCGGGCTGCGGGGATGTGACGGGACCGAGGTGGGCACCGGCAGGGCGAGAGATGGCAGAGTGGCACATCCAACAAACTCCAGCTGGGTCTGGAGTGGGGCAACACGGGGGGCACATCCACGAGTGCCCAGCGGGGCTGGGGTGGGGATGATGGAGAAGGGGACACGTCCAGGTGACCCCAAAGGGGGCTGGAATGGGTGTGATGATAGCAGGCACCACAAGCAGACCCCAGGGGGATCCGGGCTGGGGCAGGGACCGTCTAACACCTTGGTGGCTCCACTTGCAGCTGTGTCAGTGAACGATGTGGACCCGGAGCCAGCAGGGAGCAGGAGGCTCCTGTCCCAGGACACCCATGAGGTGGGTGCTGCCCCAGGGACCCCCACTGCCTCCCCATTCTGGGGGTGGGTGCACTGTGGCGACCCTGGGACCAACCTCCCAGCTCAGCCCTGGGGGTACCAGGGCCCTGAGGGGGGATGCTGAGTGTGTGGGGGTCCCCAGTGTGGCCAGGGACACGCTGACCCCTCCGTCTCTGGCTGCAGGGATACGTGGAGCTGCACGAGCTGGTCCTGGACAATGCCAAGGACTTGTGCTGGATGGAGGCTGGCCACTGGCTCAAGCTGGAGGAGGACTTCCAGGAATCAGGGGACTGGAGCCAGCCCCATCTCTCCTTCCTGACCTACCACAGCCTCCTGGAGATCCGCCGGGCTTTGAACAAAGGTGGGGACCCTTCCAGGGACCACCAGGACGGTGGCGGGGACCCTGCGCTGGCTGGAGGTGACAGTGCTGTCCCCGCAGGTGCCATTCTCCTCAACGTGGAGGCCAACTCGCTGCCGGCCATCGTGCACATCCTCCTCGACCAGCTGATCTACGAGGGGCAGATGAAGCCGCAGGACCGGGACGACGTCATGAGGACGCTGCTCCTGCGCCACAGGTACGGCCGGGGCGGGTGGTCCCGGGGGGTCCCGGGCTCTGGGACCCTCCCCAGCGTGTGCAGCTGGGTAGGAAAGCTCGGGGTGGGAAAGCTTTGATCCTCAGCCCGCTTTGGGGGTTCCCGTGCACCCGCGGGGCTGGGGCTGTCTGGGGGAGGATCTGGTGGCACCGGGGTGTCTGTCACGGCCCCGGGGCTCTGACACGGCCCCGGGGCTCTCAGCCACCCCACCGAGGATGAGTCGGTGTGGACGATGCCGCCGGCGCTGGTGCAGCGCTCGGGCACCAGCAGGGCCGATGTGGAGCGGCCGCTTCTGCGGGAGCAGCGGCCCCTGGAGATGAGCAGGATGGCAGGGAAGGAGCAGGTGAGCGGGGACAGGGGGCACGGGGGGCACTGGGGACATTGGGGTGTGGGAGATGCACACTGGGTACACACACACACCTTGGCGCACGCGGGTGCACACACACACACACCTGCACAGGGAACAGTGGGGATATTTTGGGGACAGAGTGGGGACTCAGGAATAGGGGGGGGACATGCAGGAGATGGAGAGGGACACGCAGGGAACAAAAGGAGGGGCACGGGATAGAGGGGGACGTGCTGGGGATGGAGAGGAAGATGCAGGGGAACGCACAGGGGGTGGTGGGCGACACGCAGGGGCAGAGGGGGGGGACATGCAGGTACACAGGGGACCACGGGGGACCACGGGGGACAGCCACCAAGGCTGGCTGGCTGATTCCTGCCCTCCATCTGCCTGCAACAGAGCGGGGTCCCCAAACCCCAACTGCTGGAGACAATCCCAGAGGGAGCTGAGGCCACCCTGGTCCTTGTGGGTGAGTGGTCAGCGGGATGGGGGTGCTGGGCTGGGTGCTGGGTGCTGGGGTGCGGGCTCGGGGGGCAGGTTCAGGGTCAGGGGGGGCAGGGGGAGCTTTGCCACGTGCCTCTTGCTGCGCTCGCTCACGAATCCCAGAGGGAGCTGAGGCCACCCTGGTCCTTGTGGGTGAGTGGTCAGCGGGATGGGGGTGCTGGGCTGGGTGCTGGGTGCAGGGCTGGGTGCTGGGTGCTGGGCTGGGTGCTGGGTGCTGGGCTGGGTGCTGGGGTGTGGGCTCGGGGGGCAGGTGGAGGGTCAGGGGGTGCAGGGGGAGCTTTGCCACGTGCCCCTTGCTGCGCTCGCTCACATGCTGCTTTTCTTGTGCCTTTTTTGCCTCTCCCTGTCCTCAGCTCTCTCCGCCGCCTGCTGCTGCTCAGCGCTGCTCTCCGGGCCCCTCTCCCCATGTCCCTTGTCCCCATGTCCTCATGCCTCTATGTCCCCTGTGTCCCAATGTCCCCGTACTCCCACGCCCACTCGTCTGTGTGTCCCTGTGCCCATGCCCCATGTCCCTGTACTTGCATCCCTTTGTCCCAGTGACCTTTGTGCCCCTCTCCCATTCTTTGTCCCCATTCCTCTATGTCACCTCATCTCCATTCCTGGTGTCCCCATGTTTTGCTGTCCCTGTGTCTCTGTGCTCCCACGTCCCCTGTGCATGTTCCCCCATGATCCCTGTCCCGTCCCATCCTCCCCCCAGGCTGTGCAGCCTTCCTGGAGCAGCCAATGCTGGCCTTTGTGCGCCTGAAGGACGCGGTGACACTGGACGGCGTCCTCGACGTGTCCATCCCCGTCCGCTTCCTCGTCGTGGTCCTGGGGCCCGACACCCCCCAGATCAGCTACCACGAGATCGGCCGTGCCATCGCCACCATGATGTCCGAGAGGGTACGGGTCACCCGCCAGTGCCACCGCCCCCTGAGCACCCTGGGGAGCCAGCATGTCCCCCTCTGATCCCCATGTCCCCAAGACTCTGTGTCCTCACCTCCCTATGTCCCCTTATCCCCAAGCCCGCGTCCCCGCGTCCCCCACGGGGACACGCGTGGCACGGCCGCTGGCTCAGTCCCCTTGCCGCCCCGCAGGTGTTTCGCAGGGACGCCTACCTGGCCGAGGGGCGGCAGGAGCTGCTGCGGGGCGTGGAGGATTTCCTGGATGCCAGCATCGTCCTGCCACCCACCGAGGCCCCCAACGAGCAGCTGCTCCGCGCCCTGGTCCCGCTGCAGCGCGAGCTGCTCCGACGGCGCTACCAGCCCCTGGAGAGGCTGCACATCGGGGACTTCCTAAAGGATCTGGGTACGGCAGGGACCACCCCCCGCAATCCCCTGTCCCCGTGGTTGGCAGGATCCCCCTGTCTGGACACGGGGTCCCCTCACGGCCACCTGGTGTGTCCCCAGGGCCGGACGAGGCAGCGGCTGCGGAGGACGACGACCCCCTGCGCAGGACGGGGCGGCCTTTTGGGGGGCTGGTGCGGGACATCCGCCGCCGGTACCCCAAATACCTCAGCGACATCAAGGACGCCCTCAACCCCCAGTGCCTGGCCGCCGTCATCTTCATCTACTTCGCGGCGCTGTCACCCGCCATCACCTTCGGAGGCTTGCTGGGTAACGGGGGGGACAGGCTGGGGACAGGCTGGGGGCACTCCTGGGGACGGGGAGTGGGGCTGGGGGTGTCTCTGCCTTCTCCACCACGCCTCGGGGATGCTCCAGGGGGGCTCTTCCCCCCAATTCTGCTGCCGAGAGGTGTGGGGTGGGGGCACAGCGCTGTTCCCCCAGCCTGGCACCCAGTGGCTCTGCTCCTGTCAGGTGAGAAGACCAAGGGGATGATGGGGGTGTCGGAGCTGCTCATCTCCACCTGTGTGCAGTGCGTGCTCTTCAGCCTCCTCAGCGCCCAGCCCCTCCTCGTCGTCGGCTTCTCGGGACCCCTCCTGGTCTTTGAGGAAGCCTTTTACTCGGTGGGTGCCCCCTGAGCCCCTGGGTGCCCCCCAGCTGCCACCAGCTGTCCCCACCGTGGGTCCAGCACAGCTGGGTGCCCACTCCAGGTGCCCCAGGGCACTGACAGGGCTGTGCCCTTGGCTCCCCAGTTCTGCAGCAGCAATGGCTTGGAGTACATCGTGGGACGGGTCTGGATCGGCTTCTGGCTGATCCTGCTGGTGCTGGTGGTGGTGGCCTGCGAGGGCAGCTTCCTGGTGCGCTACCTGTCCCGCTACACGCAGGAGATCTTCTCCTTCCTCATCTCCCTCATCTTCATCTTTGAGACCTTCTCCAAGCTGGTCACGGTGAGGGACACGGGGGTCTCGTGGTGGGGGTGGGGGGCTGCAGGTTGTGGTTATCACCCAGGTTTCCATAGAAACAGTGGGATGCAGGTGAGGGATGGAGTCTCCTGGTGCTGCCTCCCCTTTTCCAGGTGTTTCCCAGCTCGTGAGGCCCCTTCCAGTGCTGACTATTCTGTGATCCTGTGATCCACGCTTCTCTCTACAGAGGGATTTTGGGGCACACTTGTGTACCACCCAGCCCTTGCTCTGTCCCCACTTCCAAAACCCTAAACACACCCCTGCTCAATCTGTGCTGAGCTCTCGGCCTCACCCAGCCCCTGGTTCCCACCCTGAACCCACAGGAAGGTGCCACCACGGCAGGGGGAGGTGCAGGGGATCCCCATCCCCACTCTCCCTCACTGTCTCCTCTTCCCTCCCCAGATTTTCAAGCATCACCCACTGAAGCGGGAGTACAACGTGCAGCCCGAGGTCCAGCCCGGGGTGCCGGAGCCCAACACGGCGCTGCTGTCCCTCGTCCTCATGGCCGGCACCTTCTTCCTGGCCTTCTTCCTCCGCGTCTTCAAGAACAGCTCCTTCCTGCCTGGCAAGGTGAGGGTCCCCCAGCCCCAGGGCCAAAAGGGGGGTTCGGTGCCTGAGGCCGTGCACAGTCGGTGCGTGCTCCTGCAGAGGAGGGGGTGGCGGGACCCCCGGGCTGGGGGGGCCACGCAGGTTTCTCACGCTGTCCCCACAGGTCCGGCGCTTGATCGGGGACTTCGGGGTGCCCATTTCCATCTTCATCATGGCCCTGGCCGACTTCTTCATCAACGACACCTACACGCAGGTCTGGGAGGGCAGGGCTGGGGGGGACGGGTGTCCCTGCACGGGGACACGGGAGCGGGTGCTCGTCCCTATGTCCCACCCCTCACTGCCCCATCTCTGCTCCCGTCCAGAAACTCAGCGTCCCCAGAGGGCTGCAGGTCACCAACGCCACTGCCCGGGGCTGGTTTATCCACCCCATGGGGGACACTACCCCCTTCCCCATCTGGATGATGTTTGCCTCCGTGATTCCTGCCCTGCTGGTCTTCATCCTCATCTTCCTCGAGACACAGATCACCACGTGAGGACGGAAATACGGGCAGGGGAGGGCTGTGGGGTGCCTGCTGGGTTGGGGATAGAGGGGACCTCCCCGGGGCGCTGTGTCACCAACTGTCCCTGTGTCCCCACAGCCTCATCGTCAGCAAGCCCGAGAGGAAACTGGTGAAGGGCACCGGCTTCCACCTGGACCTGCTGCTGATCGTGGCCATGGGGGGGCTGGCAGCCCTTTTTGGGATGCCCTGGCTCAGTGCCACCACCGTCCGCACCATCACCCACGCCAACGCCCTCACCATCATGAGCAAGACCTCTGCTCCGGGCGAGAAATCCCAGATCCTGGAGGTCAAGGAGCAGCGCATCAGTGGCCTGTTGGTGGCTGTGCTCATTGGTGAGCTGGGGAGGGGTCCCCAGATGGGCAGGGAGGGCTGGGGGTCCCCAGGGACTCTCCCCAACCTCTCCTTCTCCCCCACAGGTGTCTCCATCCTGATGGAGCCCATCCTGAAGTACATCCCCCTGGCCGTGCTCTTCGGCATCTTCCTCTACATGGGGGTCACCTCCCTCTTTGGCATCCAGCTCTTTGACCGCATCCTGCTCCTGCTGAAGCCCCCCAAGTACCACCCTGACGAGCCCTACGTCACCCGGGTGAGTGACCCCCACGGGTGGCTGTGGCTTTGGGGGTGTCCTGGGTTGCTTGAGACCCCCCAGAGAGCCTCATCCTTCAGTGCTGGCCTTTGCTGGCTTCCTCGGGACCCTGCACTGCTCCCCCAGCAGCCAGCACCCCAGCAAGGGTGTGGGATGCTGTCCCTGCCCTCAGTCCTCATCTCCTCGTCCCACAGGTGAAGACTTGGAGGATGCACCTCTTCACCTTCACCCAGATCATCTTCCTCGTGGTGCTGTGGGTGGTGAAGTCCACCCCGGCCTCGCTGGCTCTGCCCTTTGTCCTCATCCTCACCGTGCCCCTGCGGCGCTTCCTGCTCCCCAGGATCTTCCGGGACATCGAGCTCAAATGTGTACGTAGCCCTGGCACTCCCAGCCCCACCTCTCTCCCTGCTCCTGCTCCCGTCCTCATCTCCATTTCTGTGCCTGCCTTATCCTTGTCCCTGCTCTCCTCCCCATCCCCATCCCCATCCCCATCCCCATCCCCATCCCCATCCCCATCCTCCCTCTGTCTCCATCCCCATCCCCACCTCATCCCCATCCTCCCTCTGTCCCCATTCCCATTCCCATTCCCATCCCCATCCCCATCCCCATCCCCATCCCATCCCCATCTCTATTCCCATCCTCCCTCTGTCCCCATCCCCATCTCTGCCACCCTCTGCACCCCTCATTCCCACCCGTGTCCCCATCCCTGTCCCCATCCCTGTCCCCATCCCATCCCTTTCCCCAGCCTCGTCCCAGCCCCTCTTCCCACAGCAGCCCCGTCAGTGTCCCTGTCCTCCCTGCTGTCCCCATCCCTGTCCCCCTCACGGCCTCTCCTCCCTGCAGCTGGATGCAGATGACGCCGTGGTGACCTTTGAGGAGGCAGAGGGGACAGATGTGTACAACGAGGTGCAGATGCCCAGCTAAGGGCTGGCCCCGGCCCCCCACACCCCCCCAGCCCCGCTTCCACCTCCACTGCTGCCATCCTGGGGCCACCGGGCTACCAAGAAGGACTGGGGACACAGTCCCCACCTGCCCACCCTTAGGAATGGAGCCTTTTTTTGTTTTTCCCTTTTATTTTGTCTATTTTTAAAAGTATTTTGGATGATGTGATCTCACCCCCACTTTACCCCACCCCCCCCTGCCCCCCCTTAAGGATGGGTGCTTTTTTTTTTTTTCCCTTTTTTTTTTTTTGTCTATTTTAAAAAGTATTTTGGATGATGTGATCTCACCCCCACTTTGCTGCCTGCTGGGGAAGGGGCTGCCTGTGCCCCACCAGCCACCCTCCACCCGTGGCAAGGTGGGATGTGTCACTATCCTGTCCCCAAGGCCACCACCAGCGTGGGAAGGAGCTGGAGGAAGACCCCAGAGCCTGCAGGGAGGAGGAGGAAGGCAGGGACAGACATACAGCAGGATGGGGTCCTCCCTCTGTCCTCCCCCTCCCCGGGGAGCCCCCCCAGCCCAGCCCCTCTCCCCAGATGAACTTTGGACAAGCTGGGACAGACCCTTCTCCCTGTGGAGCCTTTTTCCCATTTTCTCCATCTCTTGCCCCACGGGATGGTCACAGCTGCTCCTCTGCACTCCCAGCACGTCCCAGAGCCAGGATGTAAATAGCCCAGCAAGGGGGGTTTATACATTTACAGTGAAAACAATCACGCTTAAAACACACAGAAAAATAATTAAAATTACGCTGATGCTTCTGCAGGTAGAATTCACTTAGAGCCAAGCAAAAATTTAAAGTAAAAAAAGGTTGGAAAAAGTATCTCAAAAATAGAAAAAAAAAAAAAAAGAAAAAGAGAAAAAAAAAGCTGCAAGGAGTGATCTGTATATTTGATGCTACTGGGGGGGTTTGTAATTTATTTTTCAGGCTGGTTGTGCCCCCACTGCAGTGGGGCCATGTGCGTGTGTATATACTAGAGAATTATAGCAAAACCTAGGATATTCTAGAAAAGTTGATTTTAAAGAATCCTGGTCAGGGCCTAAACTCTATGGACCAGTCTGGCAGCGTCATTTAACGATAAGTTAGTGTTAATTAGTTAATTAGTCCTCTTTATTTTTATAGCGTTTCAGGTAAATCCATGACGTTTTTCCTTGATTTTTTTTCCCTTGCTTGCTCACCGTGTTTTGCCCCGTTTCCCTTGGGATTGCTCCCAGTCCAGCCAAGCATCCCCCAGTCCTGCCAAGGCTGGCTCTGCTCCGGGCAGCCCCAAGGGCTGGATGTGACCAGGCTGCAGAGCACCAGATCAGACTCCAAATTTGCTCCTTTTTGCATAAATCAGAGCAGGGGACCCCAAAATCAGCGTGGGGGAGGGGGGGTGGGAAGGGGCAGCCAAACCCGGGGCTGTGCTGCCTCATGTTTGGGTTGTTTTTAGTTTTATTAATTACGTGGCTGAAATAAAAATGTTTTGATCTTTGAGGGTTTCTCCTTCCCTTCCCCACACCTCTGTATCGGGCTTTAATAAACAAATTAATAAAATCAGAAAGGAAATGGGGGGGGGGGGTTTCTTTCCAGCTGGGAATTGTCCGAGATGCCTTGATTCCCCCCAAAAGAGAGCAGCAGCATCCTTTGAGGGGTGCCCATCCCCCTGGAATGCACAGCGCAGCTGCACCAGGATCCTTGCCACGATTTCCTGGGATATCAGGGAATGCCAGCATCCCAAGATCCTCGCTGCATCCCAGCACTCTGGGATGCCCTCCAGAACCATCCCAGGGGTGGCCACCCAGGGGTGCTCCCCACAGCCACCCTGGGAAGCTCATCCCCCCCCCAGCTCCCTGCACGGGCCGTCCCCATTCCCAGGGGGATTGGGAATATCCCGATCCAGATCCAGCGCTGCTGGCACAGGACACAGAGCAGCCCCCGCCCCTCCCCCAGCCCCTGGCACAGGGCTGACCCCGATTATCCATAATCCCATTAAGGGGCCGTGGGAAGCCCGTTTGCCCCCAGCCTGTCCACGGGGCAGGAACAGGGAGCAGCACCCCGAACCCAAGCAGAGCCCCAAAACCTCTCTGAAGGGCTAGGAGAAACCCCAGCGTGGCCACCAGGTTGTCCCAAGGCCAGCACAGCTGCCAGCCCCTGTTTTCCAGAGGGGGAAGCACATGGATGGCACCTCCCAGCCCAAGGCCCAGGGACCCGGCAGCTCTGTCCCCGTGTCCCCGTGCCAGCCTCACGTGGACAGGCCACGCTGATGCCATCCCAGCCCCAGGGACATGCCAGCATCTGCCTGCACCCCTCCCTCACGTTTCCCACCCTGGGAAGAGCTCGCTGTTCCCTGGGAGATGGCAGCGAGGTCACGGTCGCGGGATCCAGCCCGGGCTGGGCTGGGAATTTAGGTCAAGCTCCTCTTTGAACTTGCCTCGGCCCTGGGAAACGGGGAGGGAATTAGGGGAACGAGGGGGGAATAAATGTTAATTAATTGGTTGCTAATGAGGGGGGGGAGCATGGAGTTCCAGAGGGGGATCACGTTGGAGCATCACCCTTGGAAAGGGAGAACCCCAGTGCCTGCAGCATCACAGGGCAGGGGACATGGGACACCCTGGCACCTGCTGGCAGTGTCACTGCTCGTGCACTGAAAAAGCAGCAAAGTAAACAAAAACATCCAAACCTGTGGCTTTATTCTCCAAAAATATTAATTGACACAAATAACAGCAAATAAAAAATTCCCGTGGTCAGGAGCAGGCCTGGGAATGGCAAGGAGAGAGGGGGGTGGTTTGGATGGGCATTTTGGGGGGAGTCCCTGTTTCCAGCCCACCTGCTGCAGGGTCTGTGGCTGATTCCGAGGTCTCCGGTGTGTCCTGCTGGTAAAAAAAGCCCCAAGACCACGTTGGGAGAATTGGGACTGGAGCACATTGACAACTCCATGGATTTAAAAAAAAAACCTGAAAAATTTCCGGTGTGTCCTGCTGGTAAAAAAAGCCCCAAGACCACGTTGGGAGAATTGGGACTGGAGCACAGTGGATTTAAAAAAAACCCTGAAAAATGAAAAATGTCAATTTTCACATGTTGGGCCTGATTGGCTCGAAATATCTGAAATATTTTATGGGGTTTTTTGTTATTTTGTGGATTTTTTTTGTTTTTTTTTTTTTTTTTTGTGATTTTTTTTTTTTTTTTTTTTTTTGGTTGTTGTTTTTTTTTTTTTTACTTTTAACATTTTTCCCCTCTTGCAAAATAGCAACAATTCCTGAAATTCAGAGATCCAGCCCAGGCCCATTTCCCACACAGAACAAATACATATATTTTTTATTTTTAAGCTCTCACAGGAGGGATTAACCACCCGGCGCCACTGCCGCCTGGCCGGGCTTGGCACAGCTCGGGCAGGACGTGGCGGAGGAACCGGCTGTCCGTCTGTCCCTCCCTCCTTCGGAATAAAACCCAAATAAACCACTTGCACAGCCAGGCACTACCCCTGCACCCCAAACCAGCCGGGAGGGCTGTGTATGTGTGTGTATGTGTTACCCAGATTTAGAAATTATTCCATTTCTTGTTTCCTTTTCCATGTAACAAGCGCGAAAACCGCCCCGCATTTCGGCCATCCCCACGCGGTCAGCCCCACCGAGCTGGGTGAGCTCACATTCGCACAGCTCGTTCTGCACGCCCGGGGGGCTGCGCCGGTGGCTCCGGTGCTGCCGGAACCGGCCCAGCCCGGCCGGGAGCAGCGCCATGCCCGGAGCCGCCGTGCCCGGTGACCGGAGCCGCCCGGAGCGCGCTGCCAGCCGGGAACAGCCGGGAGCAGCCGGGAACAACCGGGAACAGCCGGGCAGGCCCGGCCGCAGCGCAGCCAGCCGAGCTCCTCGGTGCCACGGGAGCTGCCGGTACCGGAGGGGCGGCCGGCACCGTGCAAGCAGCAGCCGCCGCCGCGGTCGGTGCTACGGAAGGAGCCGGTAGCGGCGGGGCGCTCGGCACGGAAGCAGCCCGGGATGGCCCGTGCTGTGGCGGCAGCCGGGATGGCCGGGAATGTGCAGGCGCTGCCCGGCCGGGATTGGCTGCGGGGAATGACGCCCAGCACAACAAAGGTGGAGTTGGAGAAATTCCATTAAAAAAAATTAAGAGAGAGAGAGAGGGAGAGGGAGAGAGAGAGAGAGAGAGGGAGAGAGAGGAGAGAAAGGGAGCGGAGGGAGGGAGGAGGGGAGGAAGCTGCCCCTCGCCCGCCCCGCCGGGCAGAGCCCCCCCGCCGCCGTGTCCCGGGGCCGCGGGGCGGGCAGGAGCGCGGCCCCGCCGTGCCGTGGGGGCCCGGCTCG